GGGGGCCGCGATCTGGAGAGGGCTTGGCCCGCACTCCCCCGGGGCAGCCCGGCTCCGGCTCAGTCCAGGGCGGCTCCGGGCCCCAGACCCGCCGGACCCGCCGTGGCCTGGCCCCGAAAGCGCCCCTGGTGGCGGGTCCTGTCCCTCGGAAACGAGCAAAGGGAGAAAACAAACCGCATGTCCCTTCGGGGCACCTTCTCGGCGGTTCATCCTGGAGCTTCTGTTCACGCGCGGAGGGAAACTCGCTGGTCCCGCTACCAGTGGGCTGGACCCAAGATCTTGCAGGGATCCCTGGGGAACTGGCCGTTTCTTCGTTGCCTTTCGCCATCAAATACATCCGTGTGCTTCTTGTTTACTTAGAAGGAGATGGGCCAGCCTCTGTGGGTCAGACCTCGCTGTGGCACGCCGTTTTGTCCCTGCACGGTAGGAGGGAGCCACATTCATTAAATTTCCAATGCCCACTTTCCAGCTTATTCAAACTGTGGCTTTTCCTTCTTCAATCCCATGCTTTTATAAGATCAGGCCTCCCCTGAAAACCCAGTATTTGGCTTTGCTCTTTTCATAGTCCTCCACATTTCATGAATCTATGAACAACAACAAAATTATCTTCTATTGGTCGTTGTTTTATTATTTATTAATTCCAAAAAACCCTAGCCTATCTCATTTAAGAAGAGAAATTGAAGGGACTGAATTATTTTATGAGTGATTTTAAATTGAACTAAAATTATTTTAAGCTTGTGCTTCAAGATCCCCAAATCAGTGAGCTTACCTCTTACAATATAACCCATGTTTGAACAAACTAATTTTAGTTAAAATGTGCTACTGAGTAATTGACGAATTTATTACCTTCTAAAAACATCCAGAAAAGCAGCAATATGCTTGTATTAAGATAATAAGGGAGAATGTAATAAGTATTGTAAAAATAAGAGGTAAAATAATACAGCAGATTAGTCTGTAAAATTAGACAATAATATGTTAGTTTACCAACAGGGGGAACTTTCAGTTAAATAGAAAAATTGTTTCATGTGTATTTAGATAGGAACGAATCTTTTGTCTGTTTGTCAAGGTGCTTTTCTCCAAGGAGTTGATGAGGTTCCTTGGAAACATTAGCAACAAGGTCAACATTATAAGCAATCCTAGGAATAGGGATAAGGTCGTGTTATTCCATTAAAGTCAGGATTTGCCAAAAGAATAAGAGCAAACCATCAAGACAAATTTTATAGTAATCTCTAATGGTAAAGGTTTCTGTTATCTGACTTATGGGGGGGGGTGGAGGCATAGAGGCACTGAGATAGAAGACAGGGCAAAATGGAAACGCTAGGTAGAGATGAAAGGAAGCACAATCAAAAAACACCCGCTTCTTTCGATCCTAGATGAACTCAAAGCACCCTTTCCATGGGTCTTTATAACAACCCTCAGAGACAGTGAGGGTTCACTTGGAATCACATTCTCTTTTTTTTTCTTTTTTTGAGTCAGAGTCTCACTCTGTCGCCAAGCTGGAGTGCAGTGGCACGCTCACGCCACCGCAGCCTCGACTTGCTGGGCTCAGGTGATCCTTCCACTTTAGCCTTCCAAGTAGCTGGAACTATGGGCATGTGCTACCACGCCCGGCTTATTTTTTGATTTATTGTAGAGATGAGGTTCAGGTTGGTCTCAAACCCTTGAGCTCAGGCAATCCTCTCACCTCAGCCTCCCAAAGTGCTGGGACAGGCTTGAGCCACCGAGCTCAGCCAGAATCATGTTCTTAAGTGAGTTGGAAGGGATTCTACTACCTCCTAGCTGTCATTCTACCTCCTACCTGTCACTCAACCAACTTTCCCCAGGACACCCTTCTTTTCTGGTATGTTTTGGCCTCCAGCCTCTCCTTTGTGTTGTGGCAGAATACACAGGCTATTAAATCTTTTGTTGAACAGTTAAAAACATTTTTTTAAATATATATGTGTTTTATTTTATTTTATTTTATTTTATTTTATTTTATTTTTGAGTTGAAGTCTCACTGTCGCCCAGACTGGAGTGCAGTGGCCGCTCCCAGCCACCGCAGCCTCGACCTGCTGGGCTCCGGCAATCCTTCCACCTCAGCCTTCTGCCTCAGCCTTCCAAGTAGCCAGAATTACAGGCATGCGCTACCACGCCCAGCTGATTTTTTGATTTATTGTAGAGATGAGGTCTCGTTGCCCAGGTGAGTCTCGAACCCGTGAGCTCAGGCAATCCACTCATCTCAGCCTCCCAAAGGCGTGGGATTACAGGCTGAATCACCAAGCCTGGCATATATATGTGTTTTAAAAGCCAGGAGCAGTGCTCAGTCTCCACCACAGGGACCAGAGGACCCCTCCCGCCAGTTGAACGGTTTTAATCATTATTATGCATTCTTTAAAAATGCTGAGCTGAGCTTGATCTCTGTATATGTCCATCTGAATTATATGTTTCTATCTAATAGCAACCTGGGTATCAAAAAGTCTTTTCTCAGTGATGTCACTAGCCAAAATAGGTCTAGGAACAAAACAGCTTCCCTGGTTACAGTGCCAACGAAGGAAACCACACTCGTTTATCTCCTTCCTTTACTTTCCAAAAGGTAGACCTTGAACTCGTTTTACTCTATCCATGTATACTACTGAACAAGGCATATTTATATTGCTGCCCTAGGCATTTGGAATAAGGCCAATAAAGTACTGTCCATAATTAACCGTTTGGCTTTATCCAGGCTTGTCAGTAACAAGCCCTTGGAAGCTAGAAATAGGAGTCTGCTTCCAAACAGCCATTTATTTTCTCAATAAAACTACATTCGATTACTCAGGTTGTTCATAAGCTCTACATCAGATGTGTTTCTGTAGAGAGAAAAACAATGGTTTTTCTAATAGCCCTTCCTCGTATACAAAAAGGGTGCATACAAAAGCCTGCAGATAATATAGCAATGTTCTCTTACTCATTTAAATATCTGATTAACGTTGACATTAATGAGATTTCAGTGGTCACAGAGTAACAATAAAAATAATTTTTTTTAGGTAATGCCTTTACAAACCACATCTTTAAATATCAGCCGGCTGCTCCTATCAACAAGCATATCCCCTATTAAATTTTATAATTTTCAAGATGAGTAAAAGCAAACTAGTTCCCAAGTTCTCCAATCAGTCTCCTGTCCATCATGCCAATTTACATGTCCAGTCCAAAGACCCACCTTTTAAGAAAGAACACTTACATCTGATTTCAAAAGACTCCTTGGAATCAGATTCAGAAAGCCTCACTCAAGAGACTAAGTCCCAGTCTGAACTTGAGGACCAAATCCTTGACAATGATATGGAGCCTGACAGCTTAGAGGAGGAAAACCCCCGACCGGGAAGCTTGAGTGAGACAGAACAAGAAGCAAGCAGAAAAGCAGCTCAGACAGCCAGGAAGGAAAACCTCCATATGTGGGACAATGGCACCAATAACAGGTAAGGAATTGGCTTGTATAAAGTACTAATGGGTTTTAAAATGTATCACTAAATAGTTACTGGTATCCTTCCAAATGAGAGTAAGGACAGGCCCTACTAAGGAGTGCGTGGTGACATGAGACAGGGCTCCAAGCAGCCAAAGATAGCTCGGTGCCCTGCTTTTGCCACATTCTTTTTTTAATTAACAAATGCAGTAAGTATTAATAAGGGCATTTACATTTCTCATACTCCTTATTTCACATACTCATTTCCTGTCCTTATTCCAAGTGTCACCACTGCTGTGACCTCACCTTGGAGAAGTCCCAGAACTCCTGGTATAGAAAAGTACCTGTCGGCCGTGCTCGGTGGCTCAGCCTGTAATCCCAGCACTTTGGAAGGCCAAGGCGAGTGGATTGCCTGAGCCTGTGGGTTCGAGACCAGCCCGGGCAGATTGGCGAGATCGTGTCTCTACAATAAATTAAAAAATTATCTGGGTGAGGTAGCTTGCACCTGTAGTTCCAGCTACTTGGAAGGCTGAGGCAGAAGGATCGCAGCAGGCCGACGCAGGGGTGGCCATGAGTGTGCCACTGCACTCCAGATGGAATGAGACTCTAACTCAAAAAAAAAAGAAAACCACATGTCTAGCCTGTGTGACACAGTGAGACTCCAACTCATAAACAACAACAGAAAATAATAATAATAAATTTACAATAAATAGAAAAACACATGAGTTGGAGTCAAGACGTCTTGACTTGGTCCAGGCACTGCTGTTTAATGTACAGTTTGGAATAAATCACTAGAAACTCTTTCAGCTCACTGTTTCTCATCTGTCAAATGACCTGGCCTGCCTATCTCACAGAATTGCTATGAATGTCAATAAAGTACAAATAATTGGAGGCGGAGTCTTACCTGGCTCATTTCTTCAGAGCTAGTAGAGGGCTCATATTCCAGGGCTCAAATGATCATGTAAAGGTTTAACCTAATAACCAGTAATTATAGGATTCAACTTTATGCTATAAGTTGCCCCAAAATGTAATGGAATAGAAAACAATGTGGTGCTCTCTTTCTGGTTTTGTCGTTGTTGTTTGTCTTATTTTTTGAGTTGAAGTCTCACTCTGTAGCCCAGACTGGAGTGCAGTGTCCGCTCCCGGCCACCGCAGCCTCAACCTGCCGGGCTCCGGCGATCCTTCTGCCTCAGCCTTCCAAGTAGCTGGAACTACAGGCACACGCTACCACGCCCAGCTAATTTTTGTTTCATTGTAGAGATGAGGTCTCGCCAAGTTGCCCAGGCGGGTCTTGAACCCGCGAGCTCAGGCAATCCACTCACCTCACCCTCCCAAAGGTGCGGGATTACAGGCTGAGCCACCGAGCCCGGCTTTATCTTTCTGTTTTTATTTGAAGCACTAAATGATATGATGAAGTACAGAAGAAGTTAAAAGCTACTGATGAGAAAACAGTTTCCGTGTGGTGGTGAAGGCAACAGACTACTGGGTTCAAATGCTGGTTCTGCCACTTAACTAGCTGTGTGACCTTGGTAAAGTCCACTTAAAGTCTCTTTGCCTCTGTTTCTTCATTGGTAAAAATGGTATAATAAGAATAATAATAGTTACCTCACAGAGTTATCATGAGGCTAAAGTAAATTAATATATATGAAGTGTTTAGAACAGTGACTGACACCTTATAAATTATATTGCGTTAGGTTTTTTTAAAATTAGGGCTGACGCGCTTTGGGAGGCCGAGGTGAGTGAATTGCCTGAGACTGTGGGTTCGAGACCCGCCTGGGCAACTTGGCGAGACCTCATCTCTACAATAAATCAAAAAAATTAGCCGGGCGTGGTAGCACGTGCCTGTAATTCCGGCTATTTGGAAGGCTGAGGTGGAAGGATCGCCGGGGCCCAGCAGGTCGAGGCTGCAGTGGCCGGGAGCATGCCATTGCCTTCCAGTCTGGGCGACAGGGTGGGACTCCAACTCAAAAAAAAAAAATTAGGGCTGAAATATATTAAGGAAAGTTTATTGGAAGGTCTAGAACTTGGGCAGGGTCTTGAAGACAAGGTAAGATTTGGATAGGAGAGCAAGATGAGAGTGACATGTTTGTGGCATATATGGGAGCCCAGGTGAGGGGCAGAGGACTTATTTTGAGTACAGAGAAAATAGACTGAGTAGGGGCCTGATTATAGGGGTCTCAAAAATGTGCCTTTAGTATTGGAAGATGAATTTCCAGGCTATGGAGTATAGCCACCCCACACCACAGGTGAAGACAGTGAGTCCCACAGAACTCAAATGACTCATCCTAAGGATGCAGGGGCCCAGGTGGGAGCCAGAATTGGAACCCAGTCCTGAGTCTTTTTTCCTTTCTTCTTCCCCTCCTTTCTCTCACTGGGGATATTGAGCTGAACCAAACTCATATACATCTTAGAAAATCTCAAAATATCATAGTAAAAGTAATGACAGCTGTCACCAAGGTGCTGGAGGTGAAAGAGGGGCTCAGGACAGCTTCAGAGAGACAGACATGCTTGATTGAACTGAGTTGGGTATCCCAGGAGGAGGAATACATGTTCTTTGGGAGGGCAGTGAGATGAAGCAGTATTTGAGATTATTCTGCATGCCGGTGCGTTTTTTGGTTTGTTTGCTTGTTTTGAGTTGGAGTCTCACTCTGTCGCCCTGACTGGAGTGCAGTGACCGCTCCTGGCCACCGCAGGCTCGACCTGCTGGGCTCTGGTGATTGTTCCGCCTCAGCCTTCCAAGTAGCCGGAATTACAGGCATGCGCTACCACGCCTGGCTGATTTTTTGATTTATTGTAGAGATGAGGTCTCGCTGCCCATGCGGGTCTCGAACCCGCGGGCTCAGGCAATCCACTCACCTCAGCCTCCCAAAGCCACGGGATTATAGGCTGAGCCACCGAGCCCAGCTGGTGCGTTTTGAATTAGAGAGTAAAACACAAAGGGCAAAGAGACTAGTGGATGGATTTGACAACAATAAAGACAGTATCGGTTTGTAAAGGCCTATCTGTAGTTTCACTTAATTCCTCATCATAATCCTGCAGGGAAGTGCTGCGTTTTCCACTTTACAGTTAAAGGAAATGAGGCTGACAGAGATTAAGTAGCTTGTCTAAAGATACATGCTCTATGCTCTGAGGAAATCTTTGTTGTTCTGTTACTGATTTTTTTTTTTAATCATGAGAAAAATTCTAACCTACAGAAAAGTACAGGGAAAAATACAGTACAACTCTTACTGTCATGTTTGTTTCAGATATAGACATAGACATAGACATATAGACATCCCAAAGTGCTGGGATTACAGGCATGAGCCACCTAGCTGTGCTCAGATGTATTTTTTAAAGTCACGAAATATTACAGATGAATTTTTCTGGATGGGCTCGGTGGCTCAGCCTGTAATCCCAGCACTTTGGGAGGCCGAGGTGAGATTACCTGAGCCCACGGTGAGATTGCCTGAGCCCGTGGGTTTGGGACCAGCCTGGGCAACTTGGCGAGATCTTGTCTCTACAATAAATAAAAAAATCAGCTGGGCATGGTAGCACATGCCTGTGGTTCTGGCTACTTGGAAGGCTGAGGCAGAAGGTTTTCAGGAGCCCAGCGGGTCGATGCTGGGGTGGCCATGAGCATGCTACTGCACTCCAGCCTAGGCGTCAGAATGCCAGCCTAGGCAACAGAGTGAGACCCCAACTCAAAAAAATTTTTTCCTTGTACTCCTTCTCAAACCCTTTTTTCTCCTCAGAAGTAATCAATACATACTCTTATGTGGGTGCATCCTTCTGATCGATCTTTTATTCATTTCTTTCATAGGTAATCTATAATTATGGATAAATATATAGCAATATTTGAATATATAGTACTCTGTTCTGTTCAGACAATGTTATGTTTTTGATATTTTACCATTATATGTTTGAATAAAGACATGATCTTAGTTCATTTATTTTTAACTACAGCATAACTCTCATTATCTAAAAACAAAATGCATCCATTTCCTTATTGACGAACATTTAGGTTGTTTCCAGTTTTTGTTATTTAAAACAATGCTCTGTGCACATTTTTGTATGCCTCCTTGGGTACGTGTACAAGAGTTTTCTTAGGGTATAAGTATTCAGAAGTGGAATTCCTAGCTCACAGGAGAGTGGACATCTTCAACTTACCAACACTACTTGTGAGTTCCCTATCCTCACAATTACTCAGTCTTTTAACTTTTGCTGCTCAGACAGTTATAAAATCCTATCTTTTTATAGATTTAAATTACTTATCTCTGATTACTTGTGAACTTGAGTATCTTTTTTCATGTTTTTAGTCAAAGGAGATCAATTTAGACATACTCCTTGAAACTGCTTATTTTCATTTAGCAAAATATCGTGTGTATCTTGGATATCTTTCTATACAGTTGACCCCCCCCATATCCGTGGGTTTTGCATCTGCAAATTCAACCAACTGCAGAATAAAAATATTTGGGAAAATAAGTGGGTGATGGCATCTGTACTGACCATGTATGGACTTTTACCTTGTCCTTATTCCCTAAACAATATAGCACAACAACTATTTACATAGCTCTTACATTGTGTTAGGTATTATAAATAATCTAGAGATGATTTAAAGTATACGAGAAAATATTCACAGGTTATATGCAAGTACTACCCCATTTTATATAAGAAGCTTGAGCATCTGTGGATTTTGGTCACTGCAGGAATCCTTTGGTCAGTGAAGGGATCCTGGAATCACTTCCCCACAGATACTGAGGAATGACAATATTTGTATTTGTAGATTTACCTCATGCTACATAGTATTCCAATATTTGGAGGTGCCATGCTGTATTTATCCTGTTGCCCATAGATGGACGATAGCATATTTCCATTTTTTTAAAACAGTGCCTTAATTGAATTTTTTTTTTTTTTGAGTTGGAGCCTCACTTATTGTCTAGGCTAGAATGCAGTGTCACTATCACTGCTCACTGCAGCCTCAACCTCCTGGGCTCTGTTGATTTTTCCACCCCAGTCCTCAGCGGGACATAGAAGTGC